CAGTGCGGCTTCGGGCGTCATGTCCTAGGAAACAAAAGGAGAGAATCTGTTTTTTTACCCTGAGCAAGTTGCCAATAAGATACAATCGGTTCTTAAACTCCAAGTTCACGAGGCAGTTCGTTCCTGCAAACAACGCAGCTGAGAGTTATAGAAATGCAATGAGGACCTGTAGCCGACGCCCAATACTGCTTTGTCTGACGTCCTTGTCCAAGGTCAGCTGCCTCAAGGTCATTTATATTCATAGTGGGGGCTTTCAGACGTACTAACCTGCAGACACTTCGCCGAATTCCACTCGAACACACAGACACCTGTGTCAAGCTAGTCGCAGCTGCCCAAGTGCCACTTTAAACATGCACCCTCTCAACCCCCCCCCTCCTCCCTCCACCTATACCGCTAAAGCTTCTACCACCAGACAGACACTCATTGGATAATGTCGCACGCACCAATTTGAGAACACTTCAGTCTGCTCCGGAATCCTACCAAAGCAGCTGCCACCATTCTTTCTCGGACCTGACTGACGCAGTCAACAGTAGCCCTGGCTTTGCCAGTGGTCACTGCTGCCTGAAACAGCGACTCGGGGTTCTATGCATTCTAAATCCTTTATTCTGGTGACTCTTGCCTTTTACCTCCAACCTGGGATTTCGATCTGATGAGTGTAGCGCTCCGAGTAACCCACTGCTTAGACTATGCAGACCTGTTTATTAGCTAGGAGACCCAAAATATGTTTTGTATTGGACGGAATTATGCTCATGTTAAAAGTTTTATCCGATTTCACCCAAAGGTGAAAAAGGACGCCTACCATATATCCAAAACTCCTGAACCAACGAACATTTAGGACTTTGATCGACTAACGATTTTAGTACAATAGTCAAAGACTGCCTGTACACGTTTATAATCGAGGGGTTGAAAACTATTGCTAGGAACACATTCACCCAAACAAATACAAGTTGTGGTCGTTTTTTGCTTCCGGAACGGTGCGGTTAGTTTACCAAAATGTGACTGATGACTAGGAGATAGTTGACATCGGTAGGGGTCTGCCTCTTGAATAGCAAAGCATTTTAAAGTAGTCAATTGCTGTGATCTAATGTTCAAACATGCTGTCAAGAACCGATCCGGATGTCAATTGTTCACCACCCAACTAGTGACATTGCGCAAACTCTCCTTTCCTTCCCAGCTCAATACATTTTCCCCCGAATAAAAGTCTAAGAAGTGGGCAAGATGCAAGCATTCTTCGCCACTAGAGACGAAGTTTGGGACTTACATAACCGGAGATGACGCCGTACTTTGAGAGAACAGCCCCAGTGGCGTAGAGGGCCTGCACAGAACCGCTCCAGCACTGAGTTATGTTCACAATGATGATACCCTGCTCTTCATGGCCCTTTTTGAAGACCTCCAGAAGATCCGCGCGATTGGTGGGCACGTTTCCAGCCCCATAGGTTTGCAAAATAACGGCTGAAGTTATAAAAAAACTTGGCTTTAAGCCCCATAGGTGCAACTCAAAGGAAATTTCACACAAAGCCCACTGACTCTTGCTTCTCTCGCCAATTTCTCGATAAAGGTGAATGTTTCTTACGGGGTTGTCGTTACGTCCAGTTAGAAATGTGTGAAAACTGGCTTGATTAAAAGAAAGGCTGAGTATTAACAGGTTGACGTTTTTTCGAATAAGCGGCGGCAAAATTTTAAATATAATTTGAAAGTTTATGGTTAATACAATGGACTCATGTCACTATCAAGATTCTCCTGGAAGACAGA